CAGTAAGTGCTGTATTTAAATTTGAGAGAATGAAATAATACTTTGGGTTTTTTTTTGGAATAATTTACTTTTGTAAATTACAATATTATATAGTATATGTATTATAATATTATTTTTTAGGTTTAAACGCTATTTTGGATCTTGAATGTGAAGTAAAAGTGTTGTTTTGGTATTTGTCATTTAATTATTTGTATCATTTAATAGAAAATTGACATGTCTTTGTTGGGTTGTCGTGTGCCTTTTCTGATCATTTACTTTATGAATAGATATTTTATAGGGACATCTTTTGAAGGTGTGGCCGGTGGGATTTTAGATGTCAAATGTTGAAAATGATCCAAACAATTTATTATTATTATTATTATTGTTATTATTATTATTATTATTATTATTATTATTGAATGATGATTATGCAGAAATTTAGGGATTAAAAATAAACTAGAGTAGTAATAAATGTAATAAATGTAAGACAATAAGTTATTTGCAGTTGCACTCTAAAATGATAGCAGAAACCTCGTAGAGGACAATAATGGTCAAACACCAAAAATAGAATTAATTCAATTCCTTTTTTGGCTTTGTAGCTAGAGTTAACGTCTTCGAACCGAACTCAAATTGCCTATTAGACCTCGACGCCATTAGAATAAAATGTCAAATATTGAAGCTAATCTATCACATTCACATATTACAAGAACGTTCGAACGTCTCATATGTTCAGTTCAAATGATAGAGATGATGAGGACATGTTTGAGAGTGATTTTAGAAAAAAGAGATTTAATTACAATTAATTAATTAGGAGTGATTCAATCATCTACCAACTAATACTTCAAAATCACTTTAAAATGATTTAGGGAGTGATGGTAAAATGAGTAATTTTGAAAAGAAAAAATAATTAAGTATAATTAATTTTTCAAAATCATAATAYCTTAAAAATCAATTTAAATTATTTTAAACTTTCCTAAAATCCATTTTTTAATTTGTCAAACATGATCACTTCCAATATTAATATTTTAAAGAAAAGTGATTTTAGCCCTACCAAAATTATTCACTGCACATCCTAATTCTTGTAATCTAAATTATGTAATCAAAATAAATTTTGTTTGATTTACAAATTTGCAAATTTTGTAAAAGAAAAATATCTGAGTTAATCTCCAAATTTGAGCCACTAAATAGAACTGCCACCACAAACTGTAGTCTCTTTCAATCCGTACAGATTCTCTCTACCAAAGATTTGTGAGGAATAAAGATAGGGATTTGGAAGGGCTTCTCGTGAAGGGCACTCTATTCAAAAAGCTCTCCCATTTGCATTTCCCACAATATTATCCCAATTGAGTTCATCCTCCAATCAAAGATAAAAGAGTTTTGAGGTGTCACATGACATGCTCGGAAATGATTTTGGATTTTTTGGGTGTTAAATCACTTTCACTTTAAAACAGTAAGTTTAACAATGATATAAAAGTGATTTCTTGTGACACCCGACTAGAGAGGAGGGGTACATGAATAAACTGATACCACATCTAAATAAGAGAGATCCTGAGATCATGTATCATAGTAAAGACAAATACTTAAAATAATTAATAGTTATCACATATACTAACAAGGCACACCTTCCTTGATCGTACGAACTCCAAAGTTCAGCGTGCTTGACTTGGAACAATCTTCGACTAGATGGCCTCCTCCTTACTTTACTAGGAAGCATGTGAGTTGAATCCTGGAACTGAGGCATTATGTTTCTGATCGATCACTTGAGAAGTAATTTTGGTAAATAATTTTGGTAAAGTGATGGACATAAATAATTTGTTTTTAGTACACTGATGGTTCTAAATATCATTTTTTTAATCGAACCAACGATCACTATTTAAAGTCACCTTTAAGTTTTAAATAGGGAGTGGAATTATAATAAACCATAAACTTATAATTTTGGGCCTAATGAGTCATTGTCATTAACTTTTCTTGTCCAAAGATTACATGGCATGTAGATTTCAAGCTAATTCAAGCATTTTGCAAAATTAAAATTCAAAAACTTACAAGAAATCTTTTTTAAGTATAGAAATCAAATAAACACGACCTAGAAAGTCAAAAAACTAATTTGAACTTTTTAAAGTACCAACACTAGATAAATGCCGCCTCATTTAGAGACCAGACTTATAATTTCATACAGAACGTTTATTTAGACCAAATATTTTCATGGTTCTGGCCAAGGGGGACTGTTCTATCAAAGCAACAAATAAGAATGAGAACTCATATCAGAAGTTCTACCCTAAATTATCAGAGTTCAATCCCCTCCTCTCTAGTAAAACTTTTCAAGAGCTTCCAACAGAATCTATATCCCCACTTACTACAGCTAGACACGGATTAGGTACAAATGTTCATGGGCATACAGTGAAGAATCACTTCAAAAGCCTAAAATGGAAGTCAAAGAATGTTAATGATGCGTTAAAAAAGCAAAAACAACTGCCCAATAACTTCATCTATGCTGAGTATACCTCTGCTGGAAAAGTTGATGCTGTTCAGTGATACAAGCGATACTCGACTATCACACCCGAGAATATATTATCGAGCAGTCCTCTCTTCTTTTGCTTCAAGGGCATCTACTTCTTCATTAGATAGAAGGTCAACAATTGGTTCGTACATGTCCCAGTCCTTTCTTTTCCTGTGGCATTTTAGTGCATCTACCATAAGCAAAGCATCAATCTTTTGTATTCTCACAAATCAGCTGCAACAAATATTAGAAATAAACTAATACCAACAGACTAATAGTTAATTTTAAAATTAATAAATAATCCATTTCCAAATGAAGTTCACTGACTCTGTCAAGTGAAAATAGACAAAAACTGAGAGCCAAAAGAATAATGATCTAAGCTCTTATTAAATATACTTGATCGCTATGAAGATTGGTCTAAGAGTGTGTTTCACTTGACTTTTTTACTGATGAAGAGTATTTATAACTAATTTTCAGACCGATACTTGAGAATCGATAAGTGTAATTGGCATTCCGACATGTTAGGAGAAAGATTGTTTGTTTAAAAATTTGCAAAATAAAATAATTGTTGTTAGTTTAGATTTATCAGTAATAGAGAGAGAACATCAGTAACAAACATGAAGTACTATCTAAATAATATTAAAAAGCATAACTTAATCTTGGGAAAATAGTAAAAGGAAACAACAAACAACAAATTATATCTTCTATGTTATGCCCAAAATATGGAATCCAACAAAGCCACCAAGTCTTATGGAAGAGAGATACCCACATATGAAGACATCTCAGCATGACTATAAATCTCATACATCTGGGAATCTTTTTAAAACTGGAGAAAAGTTGTCATTCACATGATCATCTTCTTATGGTTCCCAAGAATCAGACACACTCTAAATTTATAACCTTATATTGTCACCGTTGAAGATCCGTTTGATAACATTCTCGTTTCTTGTTTTTAAGAAACATAAACGTCCACTAACTGTTCTTGTTTCTCGATACAAACATAACAACAAAATCGAGTTTCTCATATTTTGTTCTCATTTTCAGTTTTCTCCAAAAAAATAAATAAAAGCATTATTTTATCCTTCATGACCTATAAAATGCATATTAAATATTATTAACAAATAAATATAACATAAAAAAGTTTTAATTTTTTCTTTCATATAAAATATTTATTTTTCTAATTTATAATTTTCAAAGAACGAGAAACGAGAATGAAACATGTCTTCATTTCTTTTTTCAATAAAAAAGAAAATAAGAAAGAACAAGAAACAAGAAATAATCATCAACGCATTTTTTTTTACAATTGGGAGTCGGAACTTTGCTCCCTATACCCGAAGCACCTGTGCTCACACCAAGGCCCGGACCCTGGAGACATCAAGGATTTTTGGTATTAAGCTCATCAGAAGGTTCGAACTTTAGACCTCTAAGTTAGTATAACCAAGAGATCCCAAGCCCTTGTCAATTGCCCCTTGGTTGCAATTCTATTTTCATTTTTTTATAAAAGACAAAATGAGAAACAAGAAACAAGAAATAGAAATGTTACCAAACAGGTCCTAAATTTTTTCACTCTTGAAAACAAAAACACAGTATAGTAGAAAACAAACATAACTGGCAGTAATAAATAATTGTGTAAGATTTATAGATCAAAAGCTTCTTAGATCACAGAAGAAAGGAATCTCAATAGGAGCAACAGGGAATAGACTAACCGAACAACACTTGATCTTTGACCAAATAACTTCACCAAGTCCACAGAAGCACCTCCAACTTTACTGTTGCACCAAACAGAGAAAGATGCACAATTGCAAGATGCAGATGAATAAAGGTAAATATTAATCTCATTGCAAGTCACCTGATCAAAAACGAGAATTGAATGAGGAATAGTGCATAATTTGAATATCTAAGTAGATACCTTGCGGGAACATGCTCAAAACCCCGGCGGCCCTTCTTGCTCATTCTGCTTTCTCTTGCTGAAGCTACATTCTGCATTGCTATCTGGAACATAGACACAGCGCAGATGATGCAATAATGAAATAAATTATTCAGATAGCGAAAGAAACTGAAAAAGATAGTCTTTAGAAAAGAGAAGGTTTAATGAACAAGAAAGAACAAACCTCGTAGAGTTGTTCTCTTATCGCAACTGCAACTGCAGGCTACCTCACAAAAGAATAAATAAAACTCTCATGGTACCAAATAGTTGGAGAAGGACGTGCACAAAGAGAGTTTAGGTGAAAATAGTTCATTGACAATCCATCCCTTTAAAGAGGGATGCTGCCTTTTCATGACCAGAGGACCCAATTTACATGGAACCAAAAATTTATTCTTAGGTACAACTTCATATTGTATTAGCCTTTACTTACTCCTACTTCAGGGTCTTCAATACCCAAATCTTTGCAGAGTGTTCTGGAGAACTCTTCAGGGTCACTCTCATAGTTGTTCAAGTCCTAAAAGGCATATCATTTTGTGCACATAAGCTAGACAAATACTTGTTCCAGTCAAATGTCTCAAGATTATGTTCAACTTTACCCAAAGAAACTGGTCCTTTATTAGCGTATTGTTCACTCGAAGATCAAGCTGGAGAAGAAACATTACAGCATTACTTGACATCAAGCAGTAAAATAATGATAAAGGTAGGAGGTCAGCAAGACATTGATATTATAACACCAAAGACACAAACCTTTATTGGAATAATCTTTTCGCCAGTGTACATATCTTGACCTTCAAAGGATCGAAACTCTGTAAGTTGCGACTGATAAAGTGAAACCCAAGAGAAAACATGAGTAAGTTCGATGATAGGTCGAGATTACTAATGTTGATTCAAGTCAAAAGTTGTGTCTAATAATTATAAAAATATGGTCTGGGCTGACCATTCAAATCCATGAAGAGTGGGAGAGGGAATTCAGATGACTATTGTTCTTACTTGAATGGATTGTGCAATTTGTGTCATAAATGCTGGGGGAAGCTTTAAATCTTTCACCGTCCTCTTTGCAAAGACCACCACCTCTGAATCGGGATCTAGAGTAAAGATAAAGTATAATGACGTGATTGAAGACATTATCAGAGGAGCAAAAGAGAAATCTTCAAGTTAACCCTTAAGGATGCTTATGGGTTTTGGGATGTTTGAAGATAACCCCTAACTAAGTTCCTTGATTCAAGCTCCCAAGTTAAAGGGTTAATAACTTAAAAGTTGTCAACATTAGTTTAATTCAACGATAATTGGCACATGTCTCTGACAAAGAGGTCATGAGTTCGAATATCCGAACCCGGCTTGTTGTACTAAAAATAAATAAATAAATAACTTAAAAGTTAAAAGCCCCTCTCGCCTCTGGAAAGCTGCCTTGGAGCGGGCAAAGCCTCTCCGAAGATTAGTGGGGTGGGATATAAACATAATGCGAGAATTGAGCCCGACATCCAAATTATAGAAAAGGAAAAGGCATCTTCAAGTTAATGCTTATATGAAAAAACATTATTTCAAACCTAAATGTTTACACCAAAACAAATAGGCCCAAAGACGTTAAACTCAGAGTCAGATATAAAAACTAAATGAAGTTTGCAAGTTTTCCATGAAAGTATCAGCAATACCACTGGTAAAAACAGAGATTAATTCAGTTTTTCAAGTCAAAAACCATAAACTCAGGAAAAATAAACCCTAAATTTGAAGAACCCCAATCACCATTGATTTAGAAGGAAACAGAACAAGCATGAACCAAGTAAATGAAGAAGAATACCAGAAGGGTTCCAAGTGAAGGCATCTTTGAACCTCTGACCGTCGATTTCGATGTCCAAACGAATGGGCACTAAATTCTCCGCAGTCGGACTTTCGTAAAGTATTGTTTCGGCAAATAAATGATCGAAAACGTTAAGAGAAATAAAACCACATGAAAGAGGAATCAATGGAAAGAACAAAACTGAACTTAGAAAGCAGAGAGAACTCACATCCTGAACTTGAAAGGAGTTTTTGAGTGAGCTGAGGCCGAAGCTTTCATGGCTATGAACTCTCAATCTGTGTTTTATATTTCGGGAATTTCTGTAGCTTTCAGAACATTGCAGTACGCTTCTGCGACGATTTGGACCGCTCTTATGTCTGGGTTTTCTTTTCTTTTCCCTTCTTTTGTTTTAAAATTTCGTTTTTCATAAAATTTGGCAATTTATACCCAAAAAAAATTCATAATAATAATTTTAAAAAAATTCGATTGACAAGTTTTAAATTTTAATTAGCAAATGATTAAATATTACATCATTATTAGTTGTTGTTAATAAAATTATATTTATGATCTATCCTAAATTTATACGTGTGCTAAATTAATTTTAAAATTGACAAATTAAATTTCGTCACGTGTCTCTTTTATGGTCGTTCGATAACATCAATTAGTTTGATCAACCTATAAAAAGATTGGGTCCAAGACGACAACCCACATAAACTCACCAAAATTCTATCAAGATACAAGATGGAGACTCGATCAAAACTACAAGTTAAAGTTCTTCAATAAACTAAAAATCGAAGACTTCAAAGATTCTTCCACTGGACTCCAAACTAAATATTCAAACAATTATTCAACAAACAAAACATCAAATTCATTGATTCAAGAATAAATTCTTCCATCATCAAATCAAGTTCATATCCGAAAGAATTAATAAAAAGATTTATGGTAACACGAGTTTCTCTCATTTGAATTTCTCATTAAACATGAGTATTATCTCAATATTCATTTCATGTTTTTTCTTACAGAAAAAATATATTCATTACATGTTTTCTTTTTCTTTTACAACACATATTCACATGTTAATGTTTTGGATTTTTTTTTAATATTTACTGTTTAAAAAGTTTTAAGTTAATACCTTGTACTTAAATTATTTAAAAAATTACTCGTTTTTAACGTTAAAACTAATCGATGACAAACTTACTATTTTTATTACCTCATCATTTGAATTTCTTTTGCATCTCATCAACATCCAACGAAATCTCCACTCACCACATTAGATACAGATTTGCCTTCTGTTTTTCTTTAGTACAACGATTGGGGTGGAACGATTCGAATTCATAATCTTTTGATCAAAGATAAATTTCAATTATTGTGTAGTTAAGCTCATGTTGATAATCTGCCTTCAATTGATTTATCTCTCTTGTTCACAAATCACTAAATATCATGTCATATAAACTTATTATCAACCAATTGTAACATTTACCCACATTAAAAGAAAAAGGAGAAACATATCATCGTTGCAAGCATTCAAATTTATGAAGTTAACTAGAATTGCTTAATTTAACCCATATTTAGGGGGCTGAGGAATAATTACTATATTTTTTAGGATGAATTTGTGCCGAAAGATAAAGTTCAGGGTGATTGTAATAAACATTCGTCATTTTAATTTTTATCATGTTATGTAGTGTAAAAGAAAAAAAAATATCAAAATGAACATAGTTGAGCGATAGCACCCTTTACTAGAAAAAAAATGTTAGAAATTTCAATATTAACCTTCCTTACATTTGAACCATGCTCCAATTGTGCCTCCTCCTTCAAATTCCAATTGCTCTAGTAGGGGTACAATTGTAACGAATTTCACACTTTAAGGTAGTTTTTGCAATTTATCCTTTTTAATATTACTCGTTAAATTAAACCAAAATAATAGGCTGACGTGGCTTGATTTGACGTGGCAGCAGCTGCTTCACAATCACACTACTTTCAGTGGAAGCCTAATCGAAGTCAATAATGGCTCCGCCGCTTCCGGATTGAAAGAAACCCACAACAATGGAGCTCTACTCCGCCCTGAATCCTCCGCCGCCGGAGCTCCGTCACCACTCGTTCCCTTCTCTCTCCAACAATCACCACCTCCTCCTCCTCCATCACCGTCGCCGTTCGCTCAAGCATCTCCGCCGGTACCGGCTTCTACATTTGCGAGCGTCCTCCACCGCCGGCGTACCGGCCGTGCCGGAGCAGGCCGGCGGGAAATTAGTGGTGGAGCTTGTCGGAGCGTTCAACGAACTCACCGATAGGATGAACCTCAACTCCGGTAGCTCGTCTGTGATTCTCTTCGTCTCTCTCAAACTGTCGATCCCTATTCTGCGGAGCTTGCCTCTGCTCCCCGATGGCCGCTCCCCTCTCTCCAAGGCCTTGTCTGTGGCTCTTATTCTCGCCGATCTCCAGGTTTTCATCTTCCTCCTCCACTTTTGTTATTGATTGCTAATTTTGATATGGTTAAATTACAAGTTTAGCACATGAACACTCTCAGATTAATACGGTCTATAATGTGTAATAGGTTCTTGATTGATGTTCAAAGTTCATAATATGTCATTAACTTTCAATTAGTGTCTAATAGGATATTTATTTAAAATTAATGAACTTATTAGCATATAATTGAATTATTATGTGTCTAAGAAAATTTTCATCTTTTAATTTATCTTTTAATTTTGTGTCTGAATAAGTCCACGACTATTAGACATGAAGCTAAAAGCTAATGGACTTATCGGATACAAAACTGAACCTTATCGGATACTTTAGGTTCCGTCTGATAACAATCTTATATTTAGTTTTCTAGTTGCAGAAAATTAAGCCAAGAAACATCACTTCCACATATGTTCTATGTTTTGTTATCTAACTTTTTAAAAATCATTTCAAAATCTAAACCTAATATCAAAAACTAAAAAACGTAACTTTTAAAAATTTGTTTTTGTTTTTGAAATTTGGCTAAGAATTCAGATGTGTGGTGAAGAAATGTTAAAAACATACCAAAGAAATCGTAAGGAAACGATCGTAATTTATGAAAACAGAAAGCTACCTTGCCTTAGGAATTCCAATCAATTTGGCCTGTGAAATCACCAAATTGTTTCTCTTGCTTAATATGACAATTTCTTTGTGTTCAATTCAATAATGAGTAAATATTTTGTTCCTCTAACTATTTGGGTCAATCAGTTCTAATTACCAAATCCAATTTTCAACCTGCCTTGACAAGCGCCAATCTTTTCTAACTAGGTGTAACTGTCATCAGGAAAGCTCACCAGTTCCAGGTTCAAATGCCATACACTTTTTTAGTTCTGGTATACACTTGATGTTAGATTCTTGTCGACGATGAGATTGAACTGAATGCTTTCTGTTGCGTATTTTTCGCTTTATTTCTCGTTCTTAATGGGAGTCATATACTTCTCAACAGTCTTTTCTGTGAATTTCAGTCTGCACTTATGTTAGATTTCAGTTATTGATGGATTTTAGAACAAACCATTATCAACAGATGGATGCAGAAGTTATTTCAGCTGGTATTCTTAGAGAGGTTATGGAGGCTGGTGCGATATCCATTCAGGAAGTTAAAAACCAGATAGGCATCAGTACTGCTCATTTACTGCACGAGAGCCTACGAGTGAAGCGGATTCCTTCGAGAGTCGATATTTTTGATGATGATGGTTCTGCTGCTTTAAGAAGATTCTGCCTCACATATTATGACATTAGAGCCTTGATTTTGGACCTGGCTCTAAAGCTTGATATGATGAGGCATATCCAGTTACTGCCAAGGTACCAGCAGCAGATGCTCTCTCTTGAGGTTTTGAAGATACATGCGCCATTAGCATTTGCCGTTGGAGCGAACTTCTTATCACTTCAATTGGAGGATCTTTCGTTTCGGTACTTGTTTCCTTGCTCCTACTTCTATGTCGATTCGTGGTTGCGGAGCCATGAGTCGGGAAGTAAGTCTTTGATTGAAACATACAAGGATCAGCTAGCACAGTCCTTGAAGAATGATCCTGTATTGGCAGATATGGTGGAAGATATTTCTGTCAAAGGTCGCTACAAAAGTCGGTCCAGTACAATGAAGAAGCTCCTAAAAGATGGCCGAAAACTTGAAGAAGTTAATGACATTCTAGGATTACGCGTCATATTGAAGCCTAAGTCTGGGACAGATACATCAAAAGTAGGAGAGAGAGCTTGCTACCGGGCACGGGACATAATAAGATCACAGTGGAAGGAAATACCTCAGAGGACTAAAGACTATATCACGAGGCCGAAACCGAATGGATATAAGAGCTTACACATGGCTGTGGACGTGAGTGACGAGCGTGGGGCTAAGCCGTTGATGGAAATACAGATAAGGACTACGGAGATGGACAAATTGGCAGCTGCTGGAACAGCATCCCATTCACTATACAAGGGAGGTCTCACAGATCCAGAAGAAGTTAGTATCCATTTTCATGGTTTATTAGATTTGCGAGGTTGCTAAGTTTGAGATTGATGTGTTTATTTGTCGATGCTTTTAGGCAAAGCGGCTCAAGGCCAAGATGTTGGCTGCAGCTGAACTTGCTGCTCTACGTCTTAAAGATTTTCCATCCTCTAACTATAAAGGAATACATACCGACCAAAGCGGTCGAGTATTTGGCCTTCTAGACAAGAATGGAGATGGTAGAATAAGCATTGAGGAGCTTGTGGACGTGATGGAAGACCTTGGTGTTGGTGCCCCTGGAGAAGATGCTCGAGAGATGATGCGGCTTCTTGATTCAAATAGTGATGGTTCTCTTAGCTCCGACGAATTCAATTTCTTTCAAAAACAGGTAATGTTTACCCCTGCATTTCAAAGTTTTGAGATCATGATGGTCGCATATTTCCTAAGCACAGAGTTTCCAAAAACATGTTCTTTTCTGGTTGCGAAACATGTTACTGAAAAGCTGTGAGGATCAGCCTCACTTTTTGGTATTAAAACGTAGAATCAAATGCCCTTGGGCAGTACAAAGCCGACCCACCTATTCAAGAGGGTGGGTATTCTCTCCCTAACCTTTTCACAGCACTCAAAACTAGGATGATCTCCTCCTACCTTTTCCTACCCTTTTCTACTACACGTTGCC